CCCATCATGCAGTTGATGCTGCAGGGTGCAAGCAGAGGGTGTGGCCACCATAGCGCTGCTGGGCTGCCTGGGCGATCTGCGGCGGGCCCTAGAGGCGGTGAATGGCCCTGTGGGCAGGCAGGGCTGGGGATGGGGGCAGAACGGGGGTGGGACAGGGGAGTGGAGCGGGGGCGGGGCCAGTTTTTGGGCACTCAGTCTCTAAAAGGTTCACCATCACTGTCCTGGGCTGTTAGAAATTGTTACAGTACATGGCTCTGGTGAACCTTGGGGCATTATGTTGATAGCTGCAGGATAATATTGGAGCAAAACTGAGTCTCAGATTTACGGCAAAGAGGCCACTGACCCCATATTCAGAGTCTGAAGTTCTTATCTGGCATCATAAAGTCTTGTTTTAACTCAGTAAAGCAGGGTTACGGTTAGGAAAAACGGAGAACTCGGAAAAACTAAACTTTCTCCATTTTCTAAATCTACTTTTCTTTCTTCGCTTTTGACTAGAAAGAACATTTTTATTCTTCCCAGCAATTTAAATACTTTTATTCATATCCAAAAAAAAGAGAGAAAGATTTGAAATTGTTTCAAAATATCTAGAACGTTTGCAAGAAGAGAAATGAAAGAAAAAGGTGGTTGATTGGTAAATTCATGATGCAATACTTGATCAGTATTTTTGGTAAAATATTAGAAAAATCAGAAATTCCAATATCCAATCTTTGTATATTCTGGATCCAAGCTCCTCCATTCCCTAGTAAGATTTTAAAAATAGGGTTGCTGTATGCCAGCCGCAATTCTGGAATAGATATTTCTTCTTATCTACATTAGTTAGTGGCAATGGGGAGGGTGGATCAAAAGCCATTAAAAGAAAAAATTGATAAAACCTATTTCCTACAATTTAGTCTTTAACACAGTGGTTCTCAACCTTTTTAATGCCACGACCCCCAACCGGTCGTAAGTTGAGGACTACTCAACCGGTCGTAAGTCGAGGACTACTCAACTGGTGCAGCACCGTTTGCAGAATGGGGCTTTTGGCGGGCTCAGCAGGGCAGAGACAGCCTGGACAATTCCTATTGGCTTTTGAAAGCCAATAGAATTAGACTCTATTCAAGAGAGTCTATTCTATTGGCTTTCAAAAGCCAATAGAATAAAAGGGAGTAGCACAGCTAAGGAAAAGGGGGAAAAAATGACGGACTGTGTTGTTTGGTGACCCCTGTGAAATGGTCGTTTGACCCCAAATGGGATTGAGAACCACTGTTTTAACAGGTTTCCTGCCATATTCCCACAGAGGATTTGCTGAGTTCACTGAGTTCACTCTTCTTCCAGCTTATGCAAACATTTTCTACATCTGTTGAAATATTTTCTAGCCCATAGAAGCTTATTTCATAGCAAATTTATTAGTAGTTAAATAATTTAAATTGGTATAATTTAAATATACCAATAATTTCTGTTTGGTAGTAGTATAATTTAAATATACCAATAATTTCTGTTTGGTAGTAGTATAATTTAAATATACCAATAATTTCTGTTTGGTACAGCAACGCCATCTAGTGGCACTATTAAAGATTTCCTGCTACCTTTACATAATGGAAAATCAACAATCTACATCAGGCATGTCAAACTGCCAGCCCCCGGGCTGGATGTGTCATGCCAAAACCGACCCCACTCCATTGCCGGCAATGGGGGAAAAGTTGCGATATGTCATCCAATGTCACGTGATCTACATGCACGGATTTGTAAATTCTCAAGAGCAGTGTTTCTCAACCTTGACAATTTTAAGGCATGTGGACTTCAACTCCCAGAATTCCACAGCCAGCAATGCTGGCTGTGGAATTCTGGGAGTTGAAGTCCACATGCCCTAAAATTGTCAAGGTTGAGAAACACTGCTCAAGAGGATGGAAGTCTATTACACTCAATCCAGGAGCAACAGACATAGCCATGGTCTCCCTATTTGATGATCAGGTTGCATGAACACTTGAGTTAACATTTCATACTCATTCACCCTCATGGCTTTACAGAAATGACTTATGGGATACTTATAAAACACACTAAATTCACTTCTTGTGCTTTCCACACCAGGGCTTTTCAAACGGTAGTACGCGTATCACCGGTGATACTTTGGCACCTGGCAATTGTCTTAGAGAAGTGGTAGCGGGGAGGGGGGGGGAGAGGAATGAGCTGAAGCGGCGGCAGTGCCGCAGAAGCCTGAGGGAAAGACAGCTGGAGCTGCAGGGCTGTCAGGGCTGGGCAGAAGCCCCAGGATCAGCACTGGGCTCCAGCTCATTGGCACTTTGGAAGCTGGAAATAAGCTGAAGAGAAAAGGAGGAGGAGGGGAGAGAGAGAAGAGGATATAAAAGGAGATTTTGGCAGGAAAGGGTCAGCAAGGAGTTGCCCCCGCCCTTTGGGCGCTCGAAGAGGAGGCGGCGAGCGCCTGGCATCCCTGCTGACCGTCCCTGCTGACCACTGAGAAAGAAAAAAGGCAAGAGAAGCACTTCCCTTTCCCTCAAGATACCAGCACTCTAGTGCTCACTGCCTTCTCTATGCACCCCCAGGGGGTGTGGCAGAGGGGGCCCTCGCTGGCTGCCCCATGGTTCTAAGACTGAGTGCGTTCCAGCTTTGATGGCCCCCACCAGCAGATCAGTGCCACGCCTGCTCGCTAGCCACCCTTTCACCGAGACCGCCCCTGCCTGCGTGGGATAGAGATAGCCAGCGGTAGCATGGCCGCCACAACACTGGCAATCTCTCCCCCTCCTGTCATCCCTTCCTGAGCGCAGAGGAAGGAAAGAGAAGCAGGGGAGGGAGGGAGGGAGGGAGGAAGGAAGGAACTGGGAAAGGGACTAGTTTCTGAGCGCTTCTCAGATTTTTTTTAGCTTTCAGAGGCTCCAGGCAGGAGGCTTCCCATTTTGAGCCCTTCCCCGTCATCGCCTCTGTGCCTGAAGGGCTTCTGCGTGGCTCTATCTCACCTCTCCCAGATCCGCGCATGTGTTGGTGTGTGTATGTGTGTGCGCGCGCGCATGGGGGGAGGGTCTCACTCCTTGCAGCAGCTGTGACATCGGAGAGGAAAAGAATGGGAGAGATAAGAGAAGCTGTGATGGGAGCTTCTTGCAGCCTTCCACAGGGCTGGGGGCAGGAGCTGAGGGGCACAGGGCACAGACAGCACGTTGAGAAAAAGAAACAAGCACTCCATAAAAGCAGCTTTCATTAGTTTGCAGCCTGCCATCGCAGAAGGTCTCTGTTGAGAGGGCAGGGCTGCAAAGAGTGGCCACAAAGTACTAGCAAAAGTGGCATTTGTTCACAAGGCAAGGAGGCATGGAGAAATGTTTCCCCTTTTGCATTTGAGCATCCAAGAAGGGACAGGAAAGGAGAAAGGGAAAGAGGAAAGACAAAGAAAAAGAGGGGACGAGGGGAAGAAAGAAAAAAGGAGAATGAAGAGGGAAGGAAAAAAGAAAAGGGAGGGAGGGAGAGAGAGAGGATTATAATGAGAGGAAGGGAGGCTCTGAAGAAAGTCCTGCCTTACCACTTTGCCACCAGCAGCCCTGATGCCCTTTCACAATCCTCTTGCTCCCTCCTTCTGGCCTAACCTGATGGTCTCCCATCCTATCGCAAAGGATGCTTTGGTTACAAAGCCGGGTCTCCTTGCAGGGAGAGGCAGTGGGCCCCCCTCTGACCCACACACTCCCTCTGACTCACGCACTATGCTTACTCTCCTGCACCTGGCCAAGGAGAGTGAGCATAGCAGAGACTGGAGGAGTTAAGTGCAGCCAGCGTCCCCTCAGGAAAGTGAGGCTGGATTGAGTTGAGCTGCAGGGTCGTGATGCCCCGGGAGCTTGAGGGCCAGGCTGGGCACTTGCCTAGGGCTCCTGGCAGCCCACACCACCCTCTGGGAGTCCCCTCCCCCCCGTGGCCCAAGAGAGGCAGTGAGGTTTCTCTGGTGGACCATGCCTTGGTGCCCACCCCAGTCCCATCCCCCTCCACTGGAGTCCCCTGGATTCCCCCCAAGCGCCCCCCAGCCATTGACTTTGCTTGTCAAAAAGTTGCAAAAGGGGGACACATGACCCTGGGACACTGTCACCATCAGAAATATGAATCAGTTGCCAAGCATCCGAATGTAAATCACGTGACCCTGGGGATGCTGCAACGGTCATATAAGTATGAAAAATGGTCATAAGTCAACATTTTTCAGTGCTGTTGTAACTTCAGTCATTAAATGAACTGTGGTAAGTCGAGGACTGCCTGTACTTTATCACTTTTTTCTTTTTTTGGTCATCAAGTTTTTGACACCTTGCTAGGCGACTGGTGGTACTCGAATATTGCCTTATCCTAAAAGTGGTACAATCGGAGAAAAGGTTGAAAAGCCCTGTTCTAGACAACTGAATACCCTCCCTGCCACTGAAACATTAAGTGGTATGGATGAAATGTTTTTAAGATCCTTGTAAGATATACAGAATCATTTCCATGCTGTAATGTTTTGTGGTTTATATATAACTTGTATCTGTTGATTCCAAATGTAGTTATTTTGATCTCATATATTTCACATCCATACTAATTGCACTATCTACCCTAAACATATGCTGCAAATTTACGTTCTTAGCCAACAACACAGTATGGTCTGCATACAAAAATACACACATATTCATGTCCCCAAACACAACTGATGTCATCAAAAATATTCCTTACACAAACAAATCCTTGGCTTGTTCCCTGCTCAGAGCTGAACCCTTTGTCAGGCATTCTATTTATTCTATTGTATTCTGCAACCAACTTTCAATATCTTATTTATATGCAATGTTTTATAATTTAAACCTATTCAGTTTACCTTGTATCTAAATAAATCTACATTTTTCTCATTTTCACTTTTTTCTATATTTTGCTCCTTAAAAGTATATGAGATGAGACATTCTGAAGTTAACAACCCTTTTCCCAGGCATACTCAATACACCAATCCCCATGTGGTTTTCACCTTTAATCCTAAGGTTCTTTCATTTTAAAGTGGTTAATTAGCATTATACATATTTATTTAATGACTTGTGCTTTTATTTTTGGAACGTCATATACAATAGTGAGATATATAGTAGACATAGCAATGAATGGATATATTTCACTTGAAGACACAAAGTGCAAGTACACTCTTAATCCAACCAATTTATCATATACTGTATACTTGGTACATTATATTGCATTATATAATATACTTGGTATATTATATTTTCCCTCTTTCAGAAGCATAAATTTCATGAACTGATCTATATTTACCAACTGACAGTTTTTGAATCTTTGCTATAATGAACATGCCAAATTTTTATCATTAACATGAGTATAACAGTATAACTTGCTCAAGTACTGCGAAGCTCGTCGTACATAACTTTTCAAGAAATCTAGTTTATTAAATGTTCTCTAAATTTTATTTCCTGAACTCTTCCTCAATTTGCAAGAAAATATTCAAAAGCATTGCAAATTCACATTACAAATTTCATTTGTAATCCATTTTAAAGTTTTAGAAATTTACATTCTTTCAGAAAATTAGACAAGTAGCACTTTCAGAACCTAATTTTACCACGATTAGGTACAAATTAGCTTGATAGTGAAGACTTTCTGGTGACGTGCAATTAGCAATTGAACTGCTAAATATTATGAAAATAATCTGAGGAACACATAGGTCTTGTTTCTATAAGATTTTCTGTTCTATTATTTGCAAGCTGCATATCTTGAAGATACATTTTCCCAGTTGATCACATTCCAGATAGCTTTGAGATAGTCAGGTCTAACATTTTTATACTGAAGATAATATGCATGTTCCCATACATCAATTCCCAACAGTGGAATAAGTCCTAGAAAAGAAGAAAAATATTGCTAAAATACTACAAACTTTAACAAGTTATTGCCACAAACATACCCCCAGCCACGCAATTAGTACTAGCTTCTTTCAAGGGAATATAAAGCATACTTTTCAAAATAGACTGATTTCCTGACAGGTTTAATTACTCTCATTACGCAACCATCATGCCTCTTGGAAAGAAGTACAGGTAGTCCTCAACTTACAACAGTTCATTTAGTAACCAAAGTTACAATGGCACTGAAAAAAGTGGCTTATGACCATATTTCACACTTACAACCGTTGCAGCATCCCCATAGTCACGTAATCAAAATTTAGACACTTGGCAACTGACTCATGTTTATGACAGCTGCGGTGTCCCAGGGTCATGTGATCATCTTTCTGACAAGCAAAGTCAATGGGGAAGCCAGATTCAGATTTAATAACTGTGTTACTAACTTAACAATCGCAGTCATTCACTTAATAAGAAAGTTTGTAAAATGGAGCAAATTTACTTAACGGTAAATTTAGCAACAGAGATTTTGGGCCCAATTGTGGTTGTAAATCGAAGATCGACTATATCTTCTTCCTCTAGGAAACAGTAGAGTTCCTCTAAATACAGCTATAAATTATAAAAGTGTAGAAAGAAGAGTTAATCCTAGAGAGTTGTAAAAATGGCATTTTGTCTTAAGACAGAAAGAGAAAGCAAATGCTTCTCTCACATATGCAGAGGTAAGAAGATACCTCTCAATATATTCTTATTCAAAACAAAACTTAGTTCAAGGAAAACTGTCCTCCCCAAATTCTATGTGGCTGGCCACAAGACGGAAATGAGAAGCTGGAAAGAGAGACTGGGATATTTCTTACCTGCAGGGCTGATTTGAGGAAAGACAGGATCAGCTTGGAAGTGTTTCCACCAATAGCTATTATTTCATACCAATGTCTGAACACCCTATTGCTGAAACTTTCTGAAAGGCTAAAAATATGCTTTGGTGAATCTAGCCTGTAATCTACATACACTGCTCATGTCTGGTTTACTCTTTTGTTTTCTTATCCAAACTGCTATGCAAGTGAGACTGTCAGAAACTAGAAGTTCTTCTCATTAGTAAAGCAAAAGCATTCACTAGTGAAGCATAAAGCAGAATCGTCAATACCAATATTGGAGACATGGTGGTGCAGTGGTTAGAATGCAATATTGCAGGGTGACTCTGCCCACTGCCACGAGTTTGATCCTGAAGGGCTCAAGGTTAACTCAGCCTTCCATCCTTCCAAAATCGGTAAAATGAGGATCCAGACTGTTGGGGACAATATACTGACTCTGTAAAGTACCATAGAGCAGTTTATAAGTCTAAGTGATGACTGCTTTATTCCTTCTGCAGCTAAAAACGGTCTTTAATAGATGTAAAGTTTAATAGATGTAGTCAAGTTCCACCTATAGAATCTCACCTGTGGTTCCCTGGAGAGGGTCCTGATTGGAACAGGCAGCAATCTGGAGTCTATTAGATTCTTTATTAAAACCGAGCCATCCCCAGCCTGAGCCTTGGACACCAACTGAAATAGCTGTGAGTTTCTCCTTAAAATTTGCAAATGAGCCAAAATCACGTTTAATGGCTTCCAAAAGCTCCCCTTAAAACAACAAATAAATAGTTTACATTTACATAGCACATCATTTTTTTCATCAAGTAGCCCAAAGAACTATTTCAGATTAATTCTGAAATAAAGAGAGGTGGTGTAAATAAGAAATCAACATAATCTTAACTAACATGAAGAAAATAGAAGCAGTCTAAAAAAATTACATATTTTGTTATGCTCTTCCCATCAATTCAAGAATCTGCAGATGTTGTAAAACTAGCTCTACTATTAGTAACATGAAGAGATCCCTTTGTCAGTAGACCCTGGGAACATGGATACTGTAAAGGTGGAAGACAGAACTTTTCTACTACCTATTCTAGATTGCACCACTTATGTACACTGCTGCTCTCAAGTGCAACGAAGAATAAGGTATTTATCTGTTTGTAAACAATTTCCAGTCCACCTAATTTCTGTATGTAGAATTAAGGTGTGTTTGTGTGTGTGTATTATTGCCATATTTCCCCGAAAATAAGGCCTACTCCAAAAATAAGCCCTGTCTTGATTTTTAGGGATGGGCCTAACATAAGCCCTATTGCAAAAATAAGCCCTAGTTTTGGCGTGAGGCACACTTAAAAATCAAGCTAAGACGGAGGTGGGGGAGTGGAGCTGCCCCATGCGCCCCACACCCACTTACCTTGCAGCCAGTCCTCTCCTCGCCGGCCCACTTCTTCTGTGGTGTCTTCTGCAGCCAGGCCTGCATTTCTCAGTCACAGACCTTTCCGGAATTCCTCTGCAGCCAAGAACTGAGCTATGGATTCAATCCATAACTTGGTTCTACAAGATTTCTGCAGTCGAGGACCGAGCTATGGATTCAATCCATAGCTCGGTTCTTGGCTGCACAGGCCTTCCAGAAAGGCCTGACTACAAAATGCAGGCCAGAATGCAGCTGCAGAATGAAGCTGCTCCTTCAGCCACAAAAGAAGTGGACCTGCTGGTTGGGCTGTCAGTGTCGGAGGTAAGTAAGACATCCCCTGAAAATAAGGCCGGATGCCTATTTTGGAGGCAAATAAAATAAGACCCGGTCTTATTTTCAGGGAAACACGGTATTTTTCGTGCCAGACATTATTGTTGTCCATAGAGCCGTGGTGGCGCAGTGATTAGAATGCAGTACTGCAGGCTAACTCTGCTTACATTGCCAGGAGTTAGAGTCCTTTGATCCTGATGGCTCAGTGTTGACTCAGCCTTCCATCCTTGCAAGGTAGATAAAATGAGGACCCAGATTATTGATTGCTGATTCTGTAAACCGCTTAGAAAGGGCTGTAAAGCACTATGAAGTGGTATAGAAGTCTAAGTGCTATTGCTATTGTGTCAAGGCTGCAAACAGGGGTATTGATAGGAGTTCAACACTATCAAAATGGCAGGAGTCCCACTTTTTAAACATGTGTTGCAAACACTATAAAGGTTTTCCCTGTCCAGCCTATTTGACTCTAGGGGGTGGCCAAGGGAGCCAGCGTTGTTTGAAGACACTTCTGTGGTCATGTGGCCAGCATGACTATACACCGAGATGCACGGAACGCTGTTACCTTCCCACCAAAGTGATATCTATTTATCTACACGCATTTGCATGCTTTCGAACTGCTGTATTGGCAGGACCTGGGGCAGGGGTAGGCAAGCTCGGCTCTTTTATGACTCATGGACTTCAACTCCCAGAATTCCTGAGTCAGGTATGCTAAATTCTTGGAGTTGAAGTCCATGAGTCATAAAAGAGCCGAGCTTGCCTACCCCTGACCTGGGGCAAGTAACGGGAGCTCACCCCATCACATGGCACTCAGTCTTGAACTCAGGCTGTCAGTTTTCCAGCTGATAAGCTCAGTGTCTTTAACCACTGAACCATTGTGCCCCCTTTTTACCCACTATATGCATATAAAAAGGGGCAGGACTTTAATTATCTGGCCTATCTGCCCTTTTTCTATTGTTGATCCTCCCCGTGGACACCCACACTGCAAATATTGGGTTGTATATTAATAAGCATTTTGGAGCAATGCAGATCAAGTGTTCAGATCTGACTTTCATTTGCCACTGATAAAGACCCCAATTTGTTTTATTTAAAACTTAAGTAAAATTTCTAAAATAAACCCAACATTTACCCAAGCCTGTATCAACATTACTAAAAGTTATTATAAACCAGTTCAAATACAAACCTTTTGGCTCTCCTCCACCTTTAGGAGAAAGATTTGTCCAAAAGATACTATGATTAATATGACCTCCCCCATTGAACTTCAAAGCCGGCTGAAGAGATACCTGGGCCGTTACATCCCCTGAAGATGGAAAGAATAGAGAAAAAGCAGAACTACTAAGGCCTAACACAAAACATCTTATGCAAATTCCTTCCAGTATTCAAGTACTGTCATGCACATCCTAGTTAAAACATTCAGTTCAGCAAAATCTCTAAAACATTAGGAACTTAATCTGGCTCCCTTTAGCTCTGGGTTCCAATACTCCAAATCCAATACTCCAAATCCATGCCTCTTCATATCAGTTTCAAGGAATTGCTGCTTCCTGACCCACATGTGAATTATGGGAAAGGGAAAAAAAACTTGCTTTCCCAGCCTTTTTTTTCTTGAATGTTTCATTAATTAGAAATGAAAATGGAAATAATGCTGAGAAGGAAAAAGTATTATACTGAAAGCTTCTTTGATAAAAAAGAAATCTGACTAATCAAATTTTATTCTGATGAAACACAAAATGCAACTTGAAATACATTGGATGAAAATATAAACTAGATTTATGCAAATTGATTTTTATTTTGTTTCATGCAGTTTGAATAAGACTCTTGATTCATCTCTAGACCGCACACCAAGAATAATGCTTGGCTAGATCCTGTGAATAAAGATTGTAGATAACTATATTTATTTTTCTTGGAACCAACAACTAAAAGCATTTCTGTTCCAGTTTAATTATTAAACTCTTAGGGACTTTATTTTTTTCTCCTTATTCTATCTGTAAAGCTTTTGGGAGCAATTGTTGAGAAACATCATACATAGTCCTCATGAAGTAGTATGCTGGTACCCTAGAAACAAACTTATAAACTTAAGTTGTTTTCCAAATAGCTAGGATTGAGAGTTACTATATATTCAATAAACCAGGGGTCCCCAACCTATGGTCCGCAGCCTGGTATTGGACCGTGGCCTCTTGGCCACTGGGCCCCGGGAATAGCTGGCGAGTCCCCCCAACTCACAATAGCACTGCTGTGTGGCCGCTAGCAGCCCCATTTGCACATGCGCGGAGATGCTAGCACCGCCACCAGCATCACACAGGCACCAGTGGCCCGCTTATGCACACGGGGCCACGTGCACACACATTTCGCTGCTGCTCCCTTTCCTTCTGGGCCGCCAAGCCAGAAAGGTTGGGGAGCTCTGCAATAAAACATTCACAACAAATACTTTTGAAAATGTAATAAACCAAATAACATAGACTACAACCCAAAAAGAGCTCTGTCAACACAATCTTCAATAACATGAAGGCAATCATATATATGTTTAGCTAACTCCACTGATACGACTACATTAGTTTGCAACCTGATGATGGTGGAAGGCACAAACATCAAATGGCCTCTTCTGCTTACTTGTGCTAATCAGCCAAGGGGAGAACAAATTACAACTGTGATTTCTTCATAATCCAAATGTATCAAATGCTAATTGATATGACACAATGCCTTCTTTTTAACAGATTCATTCTGCATTACAAATCCTTAGTTTCATTATTGTTTATCTCAGTATTTTAAACTCAGATTTGACATGTGGATCCTGGACTCTACAATGGCCCCCACAGCACTCCAGTTGGGTAAGAGAAGAAGGAACACAATTACTGCATTTGTATCCCATGTTTTCATCTAAGAATTCAAGGGAGTTTGTGTGGGAAATCTCCACTCATTTCATCCCTACAACAAAATTATGAAATGGCTTTAGACTAAACTCTAAGCTCAATGTTTGAGTGGTAATCTAAACCTGGAATCTCCTAAGATTAAATATAATTTTATTCACTACATTCACTAGCTCTCTGACTCACTGACAACCCAAAGAAGATGGCTTTTATCCTGAATAATTTTTATTCTTAGCACAGGAGAAACAAATGCACATAGAACAGTCATAAACAGTCAGTTTTAGCAGGAATCAAATCAGAAAGTTTTACAATGATATATTATTCCCAATACCTTTTGTCAAAGCCTCTTTGTATTTTTCTTCAGCAATATTCAGATTATTTACATATGCAGCATGATGTTTGCTGTGGTGAAGCTGCATAATTTCTGCATTAATATGTGGCTGCAAAGCACCATAATCATAGGGCAAGTCAGGGAGAGTGTGTTTTTTTCTGGAGGCCAGACAACCAAGAGACGTAATCAGCACAGTGTTATTTCTGGAAGACAATAAATAAATTATATAATAAAAACGCTTTGATTTTCACTTTATAGGATTTTTCTTGCTGTCACTTAATACATTTAGCTGTTAAAATTGTCATCATCAGCTATTACTTATTGCCAAAACTATCCATATCATCATTACTTCCATTTACCGGTGAATTGAAGAAAAACAAAACCTACCCCAGGACAATGACAGAGATACAGGAGGGATCAGTCTAAGTATGGTTTATGTTAATATCACACAATTAATTTGTTTGATCGTTTTACACTCAGATCTGAGAGAGAGATGAGGTATGGGAAAGAGGTAACTGTTCTCTGAAAGTATAACAATAGCATTAAATTCAACAAGCAAAAACTGATCTCCAAGCTAGCCTCCAAGAGTTCCCACCCTCTTGCAGCAATATCCACAGCCATTTGTAGATATCAGTCCAGTAGTTTCTTATTTACAGGTAGTCCTCGATTTACAACTTACAATCAAACACAAAATTTCCATTACTAAGAGAGAGTTAAGTGCGTTTTGTCCCACGTTACAACCTTTCTTGCACAGCTGTGAAGAGAATCATTGCAGTTGTTAAGTCAGTAACATGGTTATTAAGTGAATCTGGCTTCCCCATTGCTTGTCAAGGTCACAAAAGATGATCACATGACCCTGGGACACTGCAATTGTTATTAAATACATGCCAGTTGCCACATAATACAAGGATGCTGCAATGATCCTAAGTGTAAAAACCAGTCATAAGTCACTTTTTCCAGCGCTGCTGTAATGTCGAATGGTCGCTAAACAAACGTAAGTTGAGGACTACCTGAATTCCTTTGTCTACAACTGCTTCTTTTAATTTTACCAAGTGTGTAAGACAGTGATGGCGAACCTATGGCACGGGTGCCAGAGGCGGCACTCAGAGCCCTCTCTGTGGGCATGTGTGCTGTCGCCCCAGTGCTAGGCCTTCAGCTGGGTTTTATAAAACCTTTTCGCTTTAGGCCTCCGCCACTGTGTACAAAAAAAAAAAGGTTCAATCAGTCAATTTCAACTTCTCGCAGGGAAAAAAAAGATCTTGCAAAGTTGGAATTAATCGATTGATTGAACTTTTTAGTCCCACCCAATCTGCTGTTACCACCGCAGCCACATCCACCCAATGGGCCACACCCACTTGGCACCCGACAATGCATAAGTGGATTTTGGGTTGCAGTTTGGGTATTCGGTCTCTAAAAGGTTCGCCATCATTGGTGTAAGACATACCCTCCTCTCCAAGGGAGATTCCTTCATATCTTCTACATTCTGATACACATTTCTTTCAAATTGAACTACATCTAATATTTGTTTTATTCTTTAAATGTTTTTGCAAATATGGACTGTATTGTGCACATGATGGATTGGGAACACTAAGCACTATCACTTATTACTGTCAAAAATAAAAGTCTGACTTATTTTTCATTAAGGTTGATATTGGATTTCTTTCATGCTCCTAGTCAAAATTATGTTTTTAACCAATAAATAAGGCTCTTGCCATCCCATACCCAAATTCATTTATTCATTCTTTTTGTTTCTTTCAACATTTATACAGTTGCCTATGTTATATCAAACTCTGGGCAGCTCCCAACCAAGACTTAAAACAACATCAATAATAAAACAACATAATACATACATATATCCACAAACATTAAAAAGTGGCACCAAAGTTAAGCTATAAAATGCAGTAATTGTTTTTGTTTCTCTTTTGTATAAGAATATATGTAACATTTACTAATAAGCTATCAAAGAGAAAAGTGCTAGAAAAACTTTGTCAACACGGGGTTATTATACTTGGCCTCCAAATCCAAAGTATCACCAGATGACAGCACATGCAAAAAACTCCTTTTAACTCTGCAGGTGGGACTTCCAAAAAGCAAGTATTAAACAAGAGCATGTTCATGGAAATTGATATTCAATGGCACATAATCAAAGAGCACTAACCTATCTATTTGCTAGTTGGTCTGGGGTCCCAATAGGGGCGTTCCAGGCTGGAGGTGAGGTAAAGGGAAGACCCCACCTCCGTGTTGCTTGTCCTCTTGATTTTTAGTTTAATCTTCCTAATTTTAAGTGTTTTGTGCGATCTTTACTTTTTATTTACTCTATAAGCCATCAAGAGTTGCCATCCGTAACAGTGAGATGGGTGGCCTTCAAATTTAATAAATAAACTCCCATTTATAGAGGGAGGAATCAATGACTTGGTCAATGACATGAATTTACCTAACAAGACTACTGTGCAATAGCCGAAGTCGGTTCCAAAATTATTGTAAAGCGTTTCATTATCGTACTGACCCTGCCAGTGGCAAATAACAGTAAGTTGCACAGTTCGTTTAGACACAGAATTAAAGTTACATGCAAAAACGTAACGGGTAGCCTCGTACTTTGCCCAATGCAGACTCTTCCAGTTATACTGGCCTTCAATGGGACGATAAGGGCAAGCCTGCCACTCTAATGAAGGGCACTAGCCTGGGTCAGCCGCCTTCGACCGAATCCCAGCGTCCTTCCAGCAGCGCTCTTCTCCTCCTCCTCCTCCTCCCAAGCAGGCCGCCTTTTCGTGCCCTCGCGTCCTGCCATTCCTAATCTCCTGCCTCTCATTATGTCCTTGGACGGGAACTCAAGGGCTTTCAGACCCCGCCAGGTTCTCACCTGCGGCCGGCCACAACAGCCAAGCGACAGAGCATGACGGCCGCTTAGTTCGCAAGACAGCAAGAACGGCGCAAAAAAAAAAAAAAACGCTCCGCGCGGGGACGACGTCTCGTGCGCGCTACTCTTGGAGAACTGCAAGCCCTGCGCTTTCCTTCACTATGGCGCCTGCGCAACTCCGCCCCTCCCTTCCCTTGGTGTTCGGCGGAGGGCATCTCATCAGGCCTATAACGGGAGCCGCTAGAGGCGGAAGCGGTATCCTGGAAGAAATTGGGGATGGGGATGGCCGACTTTTTTCTCCTCCACCGACTTGGTTGTTTCCCCCCCCCCCCAAATATTTGTTCGGGCATTTATTCATTTTTATTTTACAACTAATAGCCCGTTTTGATGCCTTCTCGTCGCAGATGCATTGGCTGTGTTCAGACAATGCACTGAAGTAAAGGTATACAGTACTAGGCGGCCGACTTTTGGACAGTCATGAAACGACATCGAAGTGTTGCGGGTTTCTTTGCTGCCGTCCAGCAGTCGCTCGCTATTTGCAGCCGTCGTCAAGGCAAAAGAGTTTCTTTGCTTGTGGCGCAGCAAGCTATGAACACAGTTTACTAGGCCCTTGTTTCTAAACCTTGGAAACTTTAGGATATATGGACTTCGGCTCCCAGAATTCCTCAGCCACCAAGCTAGCCTAGGAATTGTGGGAATTGAAGTTTACTTGTCTTAAAGTTATTAAAGTTAAGAAACACTGTACTAGCCCTTTTCAGATAACCACGTATAGCTTGTTGTGGCAATGCAACTTGTGCTGGAGAAAGTAAAACTTCGCACTCCGTCGGCAGCCTACCTGCTATAACCGAATGGTTTGTGATCTGGCCTAGAGCAAGGCTGTCCAAACTTGGCAACTATAAGCCAGCTGGAGAATTCTGGGACTTGAAGTCCACAAATATTATAGTTGCCAATTTGGAGAGCCCTGGACTAGAGCAACTGTACCCGACCCATGGAATAACTGACTACTTTCATCCTGACAAATAATGAGAATGTAACAAAACTGTCCAGTGTCTAGAGGAACTATTTCATATTACATTAGAAGCTTATTCATGTTACCTTTGCTGCACAGATGTTACTAAAATGAGCTCACTTCCACCCCACAGAGATAATAACAGAAATTAGCGTCATGTTTATTTCTGAACCTGAGTTCTAGATCCTTTCAGCTGGTCCAGCTCTGATCTGTCAACATGGCAAAAATAGGGACTGGCTCAAATTCTTGGCCTTCCCCATTTTTTAGGACTGTAGTGCGGAGAAAATGATTAGTATGGGGTAAACACAGGGACCCTTGTGTGCAGGATGGTAATTTAGCACCAGGAAGAGGGCCATTGCTTTACAAGGGTCCACATCTAAGTGCAATTCTGTACAATATGAACCACATGAATGACCTTGGAGGAAATATGCAGAAATGGTTATAAAACCGGAAGCATGCTTTAAGTCTAGGAAATAGGAGAAGAGTGATAATAATTTGTTGGGGTATAGGAGACAGGGAAAGAAAAACACAATCAGGCTTTCAGATTTGATGCCAGCACTCTTTGATGCCAGGTGATGAAACAAACTCCACAAGCTTAAGTGAAACAATATTGATATAGTTCCTGTGTCAGAATTTTGAAAAATCATGTCTATGGCTTTCTACAAGTTCATGGGAGATAGATAAGGAAGATCTATTGCAGGAGGGAGACTTCTGTGTGCAATACAGCAGATTTGCTAGAGTACTTTGGTTGACATAGTAGAATGCAACGGGCAGAGGCCACACAAGTTCAGCCTTCCTTCTGTTCCCTGAACAAGGATATCATTCCATCTTCTCTCTCCTTAGAAACCATCTGGTCTCCTAGCCAAATTGCTAGGATTTGCTGAGATGCTGTTGCTGCTTCTTAGCTTTGCACTCTATCACAGAAGCAGCCAGCCTCCTGTCTTCTGTGATAGCAGCCATGCAACACAAAGTCCTAAGCAATACCAATCTCACTTCATCCACCCTGCTGCCTCCCTATCTTTGCCTGTGATGTGCAGAGAAACACCACTGGATATACAAACACAGCAGGCTTCAAGCAGAGTAGAAAGCCCAAATAGGTTGTGTGAGGGCAGCTAATGTGGCTGGGGTCAGGTAAGTGACCTATACATGAAGACATATCCAAAGCAAGAGAGCACGGACACAGTAAATGTTGAAGTTGCCCTTGGCAGCATATTCTGACTGTGATTTGTATTGGGTGTACAAGCCTGGTTTGCAATGCACAGCATAATTGTTGCCAGCCTCTGCTCTAGTTCTGCCTGGACAAGACAAAAGCTGGCTGTCTAGACAGAGAGAGTGTGATGGCTCTCAAATTTGCTCGTGACTCCACTTGAAAAAACTGTGTTTAGACCAACCAATTAAATGAGCTTATGGGAAATTCAATAGCAAAACAATATTATGGTAAGTTACAATTACTTGATATTTGCTCATTAGTCTAATAGCCTTTTAAAAATAAATACATTTATAAATGACTGCATGCTGTTTTCAAATCACAAACATCTCCCTAAAGTTTTCCTGCTTTTTGTCTTTCTGGTGGCTTTCTCTAAGCCAGGTGCCTCTAATGGTGGAAAACAGCTACAATTTTGAAATCATGACATGAGCTATCATGATAGTAGTAGTTACATGGATTTGCCAAAAATCAAAATGGCAAAGTCCCTTTCCACCAGTCCCTTTAGCTCAGTGGTTCTCAACCTTTTTAATGCCGCGACCCCCAACCGGTCGTAAGTCAAGGACTAAACCGGTTGTAAGTCGAGGACTAAATGGTCGTAAGTCGAGGACTTTCCCTGCCCGGAACCATCGCGCATGCGTGGTGCCGCCCCCTGCACCGGCCGAAGCGTAGCTGGCAAGCGGCAGAGACGGAGCAGGCCGACCACCGGCTGGGCTACCAGCTGGCCCAGCCCAAGGGAGGTAAGGCACCCGCCGGAAAAGGGGATAAAAATGGCGGACAGCCTTGCTTGGCGACCCCCATGAAATGGTCGATTGACCCCAAATGGGGTCGCGACCCATAGGTTGAGAACCGCTGCTTTAGCTTCTTATGATGTGATTGCTTAGCATAATTATTTTTTCACTTCAAACCAGGCATCCATCTTTCAAACCAGCTGCTTGGTTATAGCTCCACCATTTAATTTTCTCAGAATGCCTTTGGGTGTTCCCATCTTCGGGCTACTGTTTTGCAACTTGTTTGTTTTCTATATACATTTTTAATTGAAAAGAACTTTTGGGGGGGAAGAAAAGATAGGTCAGGAAGCCTGGTAAGCATCTAAGTTGCGGATGGATCTACAGCAGGGGTGTCAAACTCAGTTTCATTGAGGACCGCATCAGCGTTGCGATTGTCCTCGGGGCCAGGTGGATGTGGCCAGGGTGGGCCTGGTCTACTGGGTGGACGTGGCTGGAGTGGGTGTAGCCTACTGGGTGGGCACGGCCAGCTCTACATCGTTTGCTTCAAGGGTGCCTGGGGGGGCGTGGGCAGGAGTGGGACAGATCTAAGGGTCTCTGGCAGAAGGTAGTGGGACCGGGGCAAGTGCCAAGGCATGGTCCACTGGAAGAGCCTCACTGTTCCTCTCAGGCCATGCCGGGGGGGGGGTGGATGGTGCTGTGGGCTTCCCAAAGCCCTGGGCAGCAGAGGTCAAACGCCCAGCCTGGCTCTTGAGCACCCATGGCACTAAGCCCAGCCCCACTATCCCAAGGGCGTGCCCAGCTGCACTTACCTCCTCAAGGCTGCTGCTGCTGTGCTTGCTCTCCTTACCCAGGTTGCTCATGATAGGTACGAGGACAAAGTCAGAGGCAGGCCCACTCCATCTACATGGGAGGAGGCCCGGCTTTGTATCCAAAGCTTCCTTAGCAATAAGATGGGAGACCCCCAGGAGAGGCCAAGAGGAGGCAAGGGGATGGTGAAAGGGCAGCAGGGCAGGACTAAGGCAGGACTTCCTTTAGATCTTCCCTCTCCCTCCCTCCCTCCCTCCCTCCCTCCCTTCCTTCCTTCCTTCCTTCCTTCCTTCCTTCCTTCCTTCCTTCCTTCCTTCCTTCCAAGAACAGAGTGGTGGGAAAATATTTGAGATGAGGGAGGGAGAAAAACAGGCAAGAAATGCAGCTGGGGAGGTGTCACCCTTTGTGAGGAATGAAGAAATGCACCATCACCTGGAAGTGGCCAGCACATGGCCCTCGCCTACTTCACATATACTTGCTGGGCTTTGGGGGAGGGGACGCCATGAGCAACGTGAGAGTCAACGTTACCTGTGCAATGCCATTCAGCCCCCAGTTTGCCTGGTTTCAGCTGGCAACGAGGCGCTCTCCTCACAGTGCTGAGGCTGAGCCAGGCAGTGCGAATCCGAAAAGCGCGGTGCCACCCAGCCCCCAGCCTGCCCGGTTTCGGCAGGCAGTGGGGTGCTCTTCTCACAGTGCCGAGAGGCTGAGCCGGGCAGTGCGAAGCTCGCCAGCTTTGCACCTTGCTGCCTGCCGAAATTGGGCAGGCTAGGGGGTGAGCGGCGGCATGCTTCTTTTTGAATTTGCGACACCCAGCTCAGCTCTTGGCGCTGTGAGGACAGTGTGCCACTGCCTGCTGAAACCCTTTCCCCGGAGCCCATTAA